TTGCCAACAAAAGTCCGAATAGTCAAAGCTATGGTTTTTCCTGTAGTGATGTATGGAAGTGAGAGCTGAACCATAAAGAAAGCAGACCGCTGAAGAATTGATGCCATTGAACTGTGGTGCTGGAGGAGGCTCTTGAGAGTCCCCTGGACTGCAAGGAGAACAAACCTATCAATTCTAAAGGAAATCAACCCTGAGTGCTCACTGGAAGGACAGATCCTGAAGCTGAGGCTCCAGTACTTTGGCCATCTCATGAGAAGAGAAGACTCCTTGGAAAAGACCTTGATGTTAGGAAAGTGTGACGGCAAGAGGAGAAGGGGACGACCAAGGATGAGATGGCTGAACGGTGTCTGCGACGCAACCAACATGAAATTGACAGAACTCCGTGAGGCAGTGGAAGATAGGAGGGCCTGGCATGCTCTGGTCCATGGGGGTCACAAAGAGTCAGACACGACTAAACGACTAAACAACGACGGTGCAAAGGAGCACAGCACTGAAGATGCTGCGATAGAATATCATAACGTTGATAAGAATATCAAGTTTGATATACTTCGTACTTTAGCTTTTTCCACATCCAGCAGATCATGCCACTCACGGCCTCCTAGGAAGAAAATGGGAGGCAAATGGAGGAAACCAGTTTTACTTATCTGGCAGTCAAGAACTGCTGCCCCAGTTCTTGCTCCTTCTCCTTCTCCACAATTCCTTTTAAATCTGATTAATTAGATGATGAACTGGGGGCAGAGGCTCTGGTTTTTCTTTAGTGTCCACCTAGTGCTTTGAAGTATTTGAAAGTGCCTTTTCTGGTGCCTTTTAATTTGGGGGGGTGGAATTCTGAAAAAGAACATTGTAGACAATAATGTATCCTTCTGTATGGGATTTTAGAACCCTTTTCCTCCACTCTTAGTCATGTCTATAAATTGACAGTTGTTCTGTATCTTTTGTTTTCTTCTGTTAAGGTCTATGGTGCCCCTTCTTCAGGTGATATCACGTGGCTCACCTATGTCTTTAGAAGATTCTAGTCGGATCATCCCTCTCTTTTACCTTTTTAGCTCTCTGTTTAGTCACTCGCTGATTTCTATACATGATAATGAATTCTTTGGTGATCCTATTGAAGGTAAGAGCACAATATTTTATAGGTTTTGTCCCCCTGCCAATATTCCTATGGGGACTGGTCCTTCAACTTAAGAATTTGCATTCAATGCATTCCTATGAGAAATGGTGTTTCGACTTAAGAATGTTTCGACTTAAGAACGCAGTCCCAATACGGATTAAGTTCTTAAGTCGAGGTACCATTGTACAGTTAAAGACCCCTACAAAACTATATTAGATAGTTCTGAAATACTTCCCTGTTTATTCATCTGTGCATTCCCCCCCTTTCCAATTATACTGTTTCCTGAAAATGGAGCAAAAAAAAAATTTATATGGAGTCCAAGAGAATTAATGGGGCCAACACAATGTGTGACCTGTTGTGTGTTTATTTGATAATCCCAAGCAGGCAAGAAGTAATTCTGGAGCTGTCATATTTGAAAAGTTGGCTGTGTTTGGCTTAATGGGTTATAAATTATGGAGACCTGATGTAAATAAATTATCAAAGAGTATTAAAATGTGTTAAGTTGTAATAGGTGACACTGCAGGGAAGATTTTGCACTGTTTGCATCACTTATATAGCAGAACTTGGAAGTACCGTGTATCCCCGAAAATAAGACAGGATCTTATATTAATTTTTGCTCCAAAAAGCATTAGGGCTTATTTTCAGGGGATGTTTTTTTCCCCCCATGTACAATAATCTACGTTTATTCAAATACAGTCATGTCATCTTCTGGTTGCTGCACAGTGGTGGAGGGAGGGCTTTCACTTAACTAGGGCTTATTTTTGGGGTAGGGCTTATATTACGAGCATCCTGAAAAATCCTACTAGGGTTTATTTTCAGGTTAGGTCTTATTTTCAGGGAAACATGGTAACATTGAAATTGCCTGTAAGATGCTACCTTTTGTGGATTTAATGAAGTTAAAATTACATTTCAAAAGTAATTCACATGGGAATTATTAGTGTAGCAGCTAATATTCTATAGATGCTTTTATATCTTAAAGGGAATTTTAGAGGCATATTGATAGATTCCCCCCCCCTCCCTAATTTTATGCCACTTTTTAACTTATGGAAAAGTGACAGAGAAGTAACAGCCAATGCAGTGAGAAATGCAGTGAGTTACTTTTAAATACTGTAGTGCAAGGACTGATAACAACAAATTACTTGTTAATCAGTATGACAACTAATGAAAATGAATTGTTTTGCTAAAATTAACTTTCTAAGCTCTATTGCATAAATGGACATATGCAAATTTTAAATCAGATGTAATTCTTCATCTAGTACAATAGAATGGCTAATTCTCACCTATACTGAAAACAAAAACATGTACATCTGACTAGCTTCATGGCATGGATCCACGTTATTAGTTTGTTTTGTCTTAATAATTTTGGGATCATAAGAGCAAGTTCTTAGCTATGGTTTGTGTTTTGTGTAGTTGTAGGTCAAAGACAATCATCAATGATGCCTTTTCCATTAGATGATTTGGTAATATTATCACGCTGCCTTCGAGATGCCTGTCTAGGAATTATTAAATTGGCATATCCAGAAACCAAGCCAGAAGTTCGTGAAGAATATATTGCAGCTTTTAGAAGTGTTGGAGTCACTACCAATACAGAAATGCAACAGTGTATACAAACAGAACAAAAACGGTGGATTCAGCTCTTTAAGGTAAATACAGTGTCATCTATATAGAGTGAGCCAAAAGAAATGGCACTTCATTCTTTTTCATGCACTTTGAAAGCGAAGAATTGCAGGTAATGGCAAATCTAAGACTAGAGTAAGCACTTGGTTCAGTGGCCAGGTTAATAAGCATTCAACTTTAAATGTTTAAAAAATTTTCCATGCAGTACTGTATCATAAATGCTATTATAAAATATGCATTTTTGCCATTCTGAAATATAATTTTGCTCTTTAGAGCTCATTTTCTTGAGAGCCTTAAATGCAGAAGAACAATCTACCTTAGAATCCAGCTGTGGACATGGACTCCACATGTCCTGCATATAGTCCTACAAGACCCCTATTTACAGTTTTTCAGGAGATTGTTCACAAGTTTCTGTGATCTGTTAATCAAACATCGCTAGGTATTTGCCAGTATTTTACACAGTTTGTTCACCCAGACCACCAGTATTGCAGTTCTGGTGCAACTACAATTGTTCTGAAAAATAATTTCAGAACAAAGTGGTGGGGAAGGAATCAAGGATGTAACTGTTGCACAAGACAGTGCTTGACTTGCCATGAAATTTCTACAGCAAACACATATAGTCAGCTAAAATTACTCATTAAAGCAGTGGAAGCAGAAGAAATGCATTTTCCAAATTGAATGCTAGATTTACAGTCCGTTTAATACCGGTGACCTCTCACACACTAATGTTCAGTTCGAGTCATCAGCTGTCCCTTCAGGTCTTTTATCACTGCTTTTGTCAAGCTATCTATTTAATTGAAAGAAGTTAATTGAATGAAAATGATCAACTAAGCTTGTATTAATATTGCTAATGGAACTTTCTTCTTGGCCATGTTTGGAGAAAGATGTCATGCTAGACTTTAGGAAAGGCCCATTAATGCTTGCACTTAACCTGATGGGCTAATTAAGGAATGCTTATTCATTCTACAAGTCTACAACAGTCTCTATCCCACCCATTTTCCCTGAGTTTTACAACACATTTCACTTATGAGCATGAACATTATGGATATTACTGGCCTTGGAATAACTGATAATGTTTCTGTGTTGGATACTGTCCCGTTACATGGCTAAATGAAGAGTTTTTACAGATTTACTAAATTGCAAAATTTTATTTAGCTATATTTCCTTCCAATTTCTAAGATGAGACCCAACATACGTTCTCATGTGTCTTGGGTAAAACATGCCACATCTTTGTACGATGCATTATTATACCTATTCAGCTAATGATCGTGTTTTTTGTCTGTGCTGCTGTGTAAAAAATTATGTTCAGTTGGTATGATATTGGAAGATATCATGCATGACATTCAATCTGGGTTACCAAAAAGAATTCCATGATAATGATGTTTAGCAAAGTTTGAATAACTAGAAATACATACAGTATGGTTCTCTAAATTTGCATATGTTTTTGGTGGTTAAAAAATGAACTGCAGAAGAGTCTCTCTGGACGATATCAATATGTTTTCTATAGCATGCATATACATGAAATGCAGCATCTTGTTTAGATCTTTATTCTGTGTTAATGTTGAAAGAGGACCAGAATAGAAGCCACAATATTTTAACTGTACAGATAATTTCAAGACAAGGATGCCAAAATAAATAAATTCCTGTCTCTGACTGTTATCTGTGAAACTTGAAAAGGTGGGAGCACCTGGAATACATGTTAAGAAAATCTTAAGGAACAATATCTTTGTGCTCTGAAATGGTAGAGGGTATGAAAACCTTTTAGTATCCATCTTTTTTAAGGAGAAAAGCTACTGTTTGCATTTTCACAGTATTAAATGTGGGTTGAGCAAATTAGCATCTTATAGAGTTGCCTTCATTCTCTGTGTGGAAACAGTTGATCTAAAAGGGGGAAAAGTTTGTTGTGACATGGGGCCTGCAGCCTGTTTCATAAAGCTCTGTGAAAGACATGGGGCAATAACTTGAAATCCCCCCACCCTATTGCAATAATGGGTGGGTTTTTGTAAAATAAGCAGATTTTTTCCCCTAAAGCATTGTTATGGGGTCTTTAGAGCAACCATGTTCCCTACGATAAATGTATTACATTCTGTGACTGAAGGAACTGTAGTAAGATTGATAAAGGTTTCAAAGGGAATCTATGGGAGTTTATTGCAGCAAAACCACGAGAGTTATGTCAGCACACTTAAGACTGAGAGTTGATTTACAGCATGAGTAATCCATAATTACAGCATGGAATGCAGTCTACTTCCTCAGGTACATGGGGTTCAGTCTTAGAGGCAAAGATATGTTGTACAGTATATGCACAGGATGTATGGATGGTGTATTGTGACAATAATGTTTAATAGAACGTAATCTGTACTAGAAAGACTTTCAAGTGCTGCACCAAATGTTCGTGGGATTTACATTTTGACATACAAGTTGTCATAGGAGTGTTGTGTGTGTGTGAAAGAGAGATTCCACCTGACAAAAAGGGTAGCTGTGCTTTCTCTCTCTCAAACCCACACCATCTGGGTGCCAAGCTATGTGCAATGTAATCCTACTCCTTCTCTTGTACCTGTAGAAGAAGGGAAATGCTTTTTGTTGAGGATTACTGTCCTTTGAAACAGTAACCCCCATTTTAAATGGGGGCAATTTGGAACAATCAGGCTTTTTCCATCTGCATCAAAGCCATACGAAAAGAATGTAGCTTCAAAAAAGCATTTTTGTCATTTTGTGGATGCTTCATACAGGTAGCTGGGAACTCCTCTTTTGACTTAATGCCAAAAACTTTGTGTGTACAAAATGTTTCTATCAGAAAGGTAGTTTTCCTTCCTGTTTTCTCATTATCTTCCTTTAAGTCTCATTCAAAGTCGCAACAAAATATTATATATGATATTTATCTAATATGTAAACAAAACCCAAAAAAATGAATTTAAAGGAATATAATTTTAAAAGTTAAATTGACGCTTGTTCCTTTTTTAGGGTTCTCTTCCTTTATATTAATGGGTTTGATAATGTTTGTAGGGCTTTGGTCCCCACAAAAAAGCAGTAAAAGGCTCTGCTTAATTTCTTAGAATGTCTTTCAAATTACTTTCTTCAGTGCCTGGAACATTTGACATGCAGTACCACTTCATAGGGTGCTCAGTTGTCATCTAATGGAATTGGCATTTTAGTGACCAACTTAGTTAACCCGCATTGAACTTTATAAAGGGCAAGGTGGTGAAATAATTTCTGTGTAATCATATAGATATTCTAATAGTTTGCTTTTTAGAATATTTATTCCATAGTGTGAAAATCTCACTTACCAAATCATGTCATTAAAACAGTATGTGCAAAGGAAACTCTTTTGAATGTCCATTAAGGCTTTCTTTTTCTCTTGTGCTTTTGGCATTTGCCCACACATCCACCAATTGACACACTACTGAAGTAACTGCTTGAAACAACCATTAGTGCAGTATATTGCCTTACCTCCATAATTCTTCTTTCCAGCTTGATATAAGTTCAGTGATACAGTTTAGTCCTGTGATATACAGCTGAACATCTTAAAGTCTACTTGGTCCTGAGTTATTATTATGTACATACATAGATCTTGTGGAAAGTCTGGAGACAAGGAAAGCTTGTAACATTCTTCCTCTAGCACACATGAAATATCATAGGTAATTCTCCAGTCTTCAGGAGTGGGGTGTAGATCATTTCATCACACATCGTATTGGATATATGTATATTCCTGATTGTCAGGATAATTTGAAGCCAGGATTGGTGTGCTGGTCAGTTGACAAGTCAATATTGTCAGTATTTCCCTACTACCTGACTGTTGTCAAATGTTGGTGGCTATTCTGTGAAGTCATGACCGATGGCTGTAGCAATAATTGAATACAAATATAAACCCTGTTTTTAAATCCATTTTGTTCTAATAAAGTTAATGCTTTAAAAATACATACAGTACTTGACTATTCAGATGATCAAATGTTTTTAAAAAATCAAATGCTTAACCTCAGTGTTACTGGCTCTTAATATGAAAGAAACAGAGGTTCAAACCTTTTGAACAATATACAGTGGTGCCTCACTTAGCGATGTTAATTCGCTCCGAAAAAATCGCTGCTAAGCGATAACATCGCTAAGCGAAAATAAAAAACCCATAGAAACGCATTGAAACCCCTTCAATGCATTCCTATGGGCTTAAAACTCACCTTTAAGCGAAGATCCTCTATAGCGCCGCCATTTTCGGTGCCTCTAAAGCGAGGAATCCGTGCCTGAAAACAGTGGGCGGCCATTTTGTTTACCAGGTGGCCATTTTGAAACCGCCGATCAGCTGGCCGAAAATGGGGGCTTTGTGATGATCGCTTCCCTGCGATCATCACAAAGCTAAATTCACCCATAGGGACCATTGCAAAGTGATCGCTTTTGCGATCGCAAAAACATCGTCGCAAAGCGATTTTGCCACAAAACGGAGCGATCGCTATGCGAGGCACCACTGTACTAGGTTTTAACTCCCTATATCTACGTAGGTATCATCTCTTGAGGTCTTGGTATTCACGTAGTACTAAATCATGTTTTGGGATTCAGAAACTGAGCATCACAAACATGGGGCTTTCCCCCAACTGAACCATGGACAATAATCTACATGTATTTCTAAATTGCAGTTTATTGCTAGGACAATGGATCATTGTAAACCTCAGGCTCTCTTACGTGATGTGCTCGTGAAAAGCAATTTGAAAGTGTTTGCATCTTTCCAAATCTAGTAAAAGCAGCTAATCATAACTATATGAAACTGGCCTGTTTCGACAAATTGTCATTGAAACTACTGCAGTTTAGGATTTGTATGCCCCACTAAACTACAGTTAATCTAATGGCAAAGTTTTAGATTTCTGCTTTAAAGCTTCGGGGATGGTGAAGGATTGTTTTATTCTCTGTCATGTATAAATAAATTCACTAAGTCTGATAAAGCTGGAATTCCTATTTTGAATTTTTTTAAAAATTGTGCTAACATTTTGTGTTAAGGGATTACAGTAGACTGTGAAGCAGCTGTTTAAAGTAACCTACTATCTAGTGAACTATGGCCAAATCTTCAATTTGTTAATCACATATTTTAAGAATGAAAATACTGTAGAGGCTTTCCAGTAACTTTTATATATATATAAAAGTTACTGGAATTTTTATATATATAAATATATATCACTGCTTTTAAAAATATAATGTTCAGTATGTCTGTCTTTTTGTATAATACCATTTTATATTGGACTATTTCTGCATACAGGTGATCACCAACTTAGTGAAAATGTTGAAAGCCAGAGATACAAGACGGAATTTCTGCCCACCAAATCATTGGCTTTCAGAACAGGAAAACATTAGAGCAGATAAGGTAACACAGAGGTGTTTTTTTTAACTTTTATAAACAGGGGTGGAAAATTTCCTACCAAACTGTGTTTACAGATTACAGTAAATGTAGTTTTATGCTTAAATCTAAATCCAGTTTTTAATAATCTCAGAACTCTGCATTACTAAAATCTAGCATAGGTGTTAGCTGACCTCTTGAAATATTTTAATGTTTAATATCCATGTTCTTTGTTTTCCCTATAATATGAAAGTATTTGACAAATATTACTTAATACAGTGCATATTTACTCAAAAGTAAGGTATTTGTTTCATCTGCTGTAACCTTGTGATCTCTTATTCTAAGGGTGAATGTAGTTTACAGTTCATCAGAAGTTATCATCCAGGTGTGGTATACTGTAAAGTAGAGCTTGTAATGCCCTTAAAGTCTTTCTGTGAAGGGTATGACTAAAGACGATTGCACATTGAATTCTTACATGTTTAGTGCTGGTCTTTGATTTGTTCTATATGGGTGAAGTATCACTTTAATACCTGAAACTGCCCATAGGAACATCTCTCCATTACCTGCCTCCAAAGTTACTTGATCTTTGGAGAGGCTGTAATGCCTATGGATTTCTTTTTGATAGTGATACATATACTTTCTCTGAAGTGCCCCTCATCCATGGGATCATCTTCCTTCTGCTATATGTTAGGCTTCATCACTAACATGTTTTAAACATCTATTGAAAACTTGTCTTCTTACTTTGGCCATTCCTCCCTATGAGCCATTTGAACTTATTCGTACATTATATGATTGTGGTCTTCTTTGGCTTCTTCTATTTCATATGACATTGTAAATATCTTTAAGACTTGTGCAAATAAGCATTAAAGAAATATTTCAGAGAAAGAATGTTTTCCTTCTGTTTTAATATATTGTAACTATATTTTCAAATCTTTTCCTGGCAACGATTAAATTGAAGGAAAAATTATAACCCTGAGCTTTTTAATTTGAGATATTTAATCACGGTGTTCAATGAATCACTAGGTTACACAACTTTATGTGCCATCAGCCAGGCATGTATGGAGAGTGAGAAGAATGGGAAGAATAGGGCCATTGCAGTCTACATTGGATGGTAAGTTTATATAAGTGATTTTTTAAAAATTAAACCTTTCCAACTTTGGTTATTAATTACCAAAAATCACTACTTCTGGGGTTACTTTATCTGTAGTAAATTTTCAGTAATTAGATACTTCCCCCCCTAATGTCATCAGCCTTATTTGGTGAAGGTTATGGCAATAGGATTTCAACCTCTATGTTCCACTTACATTTTTGAGTGAAAATGTCTTCAACCTGCAAATGTGCTCATTCTTTCTAGATGACCAGTGAACACCTTTGAAGTGGAAAAAGATGTGATAAACATGATTATGTGAAGACGGGCACATAACAGTGTGCTTATTATTTGTTTAATCTCACTTGACTCCATATGGGCTAAAACCAATTAGTGTGAAAGAACCACTAGCTCACATATGGCCATGTTTATCTGTGCTTTTTCATTTACTTAAATGGCAAGCCCTTGAGTTCTAAATGTCTTGTGTATTGATGATTCAATCCCATAATTCTCTTTAAAGATGGAAATGTTGATGGGGCAATGTAGATACAATTGACTAATTGACCAGAATAATTGAACTGATGAAGTTAGATTGTAGTTTACCTTTGCTGTACATGCACTTTCTGTTTTTCTGTTTTAACCATTAGTTTAAAAGATAGCATGTATTGATAGTAAATAAAAACTTACTGAAAGCACTCAGATTCCAATAGTTTGAAGTATTGCCAAACCTTCTCAGATGTCTTATGTTCTTATTGCATGACGCTCTTTTAAATAACTATAATTTAAAAACAGTTTAAAGTATAACGTGTTACTCGTGATGGTTACTGAAAAAAAATCCAATTTGAGTGTTTTCCCTTTGATGTAAAAATTATACATGCTAGCAGTACTGAGATTTTTTTTCCTGCAGAGTGCCTCTATGTCCTTGTGAATGGATCTTTATTCAGACCGTGAAAACCTTGAACCTTTTGGCTTTGGAAAGTTTCATTTTCAGTTATGTTGGTTGACCATAGGCCTCATCAAAATATCTGAAATGTGCAGTTTTATTTGGGTCATATATGTCATGCGAAAATTATGGTTTTACTTACCATAAGTAGGAAGTCAGAGATAATTGCTGTTGTCCTGCCCATTCTTCTGTACATTCACTTAAGCTTCTCCCTGGCTTCCTTTCCCAGCCATAGTTCTTTACTTTGTATTGGAAAATGCTCCTACCATTCCCATGTTGTGGCAGTAACATGTTCCACGCCACAAAATGTGATGGATTAAGTAGGAAGAGAAGCCAGATTCCAAATACTTGAGCAGGAGCTCTTAGATGAACTCTTTGTCTTGAATCCAGTGATGTCATTGCATTTGCTTAGAGTGGTCTTAACCGACCAGATAGGCGGGTTATTAAATAAACAAATAAATAAATATATAAAATTAAGTTACCTTATTCTAAATGAAAGTGAACTTCTGGAAGTACTGTATTTTTCCGTGTATAAAACGAGACTTTTTTTACTTAAATAATTAGAAAATTGAGGGTTGTTTTATACATGGCAGGCAGCCGCTTTCCCTGCCTTTTGCGAAGCCACAGAGTAAAGCAGCCATGAAACGGCAGCACGGTCGCACCCCTTTGATCCTGAAGCAGCCATGAAAGGGCGGGAGGATCAAAGGGGCGCGAGCGTGCTGCCCTTTCATGGCTGCATTACCCATTTCCTAAGCTCCTCAGGACTTAGGAAGCAGGGAAACCGAGCCAGGAAAGCGGGAAAGCACGGGAGGATCAAAGGGGCGTAAGCCTGCGAATTTTCTAATTTGGGGGTTAGAAAAGGGGGGGGGTTGTCTTATACTTTAGGTCATCTTGTAAACGGAAAAATACGGTAAGCAGGAGAGTGATCCAGTGGAGTTTCCTGGTGCGTAAGAAATAATGGGCCCTCACATTCTTTGGGGAAAGCTCCTTCCATGTCCCCCAGGTTCATACTGCATCTAAACTTCTTGATCCTAGTTAATGTTGGTTATAAATCATCAGCAGGCTTGGTTCATTAGAAATCCTTGCTCTTTATTTACACAAAAGAATGGAAAAGGTAATATATTGTATTGCACATTATATAATAAGAACTGACTCCATGCTCATTTTTTTATTTTCTACTAAAAGTGGGCTTGGATCCGGCACCTCTTTCTGTGTCAGAGGAACGACAACTTGCAATATTGACTGAGCTACCATTTGTGGTTCCTTTTGAGGAAAGAGTAAAGGTACTTCATTTGATTAATGCTTGTACTTCTGACAATATGTGTATAAATCACTTACTATATTTGCTAAATGTGCAGTCTTGCACATTGTCTGTCCCTTTGTGCGTGCTTCTCTCTGCCCGTGTCATTTCATTCTTTTAAAAAACAGGCAATAATGATGGTAATGTTCAAATGTAGTTCGTTCCTTTTAAAAACTCCTGGAGATGTGTTTCTTCCAAATTGTGCTTAATTTTATTGTGTTTTTAAAAAGCCTAGGTCCCAAATGACTTTTCATGTTCATCATTCCCTCCGTGTGCTTCCCCCACTGAAGACTTGGGGGGGGCAGTTCTGTCCAAAGTTTCCTTATTTTGCCCTGATGCTTGCCTTCAGAATTTCTATGAACTACCACTGGAGCTTCTTATGGGGCACAAAGGATTGGTACGAAGAAGGGTCTGTGTCTCAGGCACTCTGCTGTTGACATAGGGGCCTTCCATATTCCAGCCTGGATCTTAACGGTTATAGATTAATAGTAACAAGAATTGCAAACCACATAGCTTTAACTTCCCAGAACTTTGTTGCTACCTGTGTGTGTTCATAGTATTGAGAAAATGTTAAATATTATAGAAGAAACAAATGGTTTCTCTGAAGGACAATGATAAAGATAGGGAAAATGTTTTTCTTAGTATTATTGAGAAAGTTACAATTACTACAGAATGGAATTAAAACATACATGTTGATCTATTAATGCAGGTTATATCTTTTTATCGCTTCCATAACCCAACTTTTCAGTGTTTTTATCATTTTGTAGCACAGTTTGGAATGCAAACCTCAATGTTATAGCATATATTGAACATTTGCATTTAAATGAGATTATTTTTCTTCTTGTCCCTTCTCAATACAAGATATTTCAAAGGCTGATCTACGCTGATAAACAGGAGGTTCAAGGAGAAGGTCCATTTCTGGATGGAATAAATGTCACTATCAGAAGAAATTACATTTATGAAGATGCATATGACAAACTTTCCCCTGAAAATGGTATTAATTAAAAATAGAGTTCATAATAGTAAAATCACTTGTCTTAGTACTTTTATAAGTATGTATATGCATAGAATCATAGAATAATGGAGTTGTAATGGGCCTATAAAACCATTGAATCCAACTCCTGTTCAAGGCAGGAATCCTGATCAAGCCAATCTGACAGAGGGTCGTCCAGTTTTCTCTTGAATGCCTCCAGCGTTCAAGAGAAACGCTGTATCTAGGAAGCCTGTATCTAGATTATGTACCAGTTTTGTTAGTGTATCACATGAAGATAAAGGGCCCCAGAGTTTGTGAATTCCACAATTTTTAGAATTCCCATTTAAGATTTCATTTTTCTAAGGTTCTTTAATTCCAAAATTCTGCATATGCATTAGTGAAGCTATATTCTGGCTATGACCCTGTTGCATAAATGATTCAGTATAGGACTGATTATGTCATCAGCCACAGCAATTTTTCAGAATTATTTTTTTAAAATCTGTTTCTTCCCAGAGTGTCCCAAGGCTCAGACAAAATCCCTTTAATCACTGGGAAGTTGTTGAGGGTTACGGGACAGGAGGGGGAAGTCTTTAATTACTGACAATTGATCGGCTGGTAAATCCATGCCTGTGGTGACAGTTTTTGCTATTTAAAGGCTTTTCCTCAAAATTGAATACTAGATTTATAGTCCTCTGGCCCCAAGTAGCTTCACAATGATGAAAGACATTCCCCAGGAGCTTCAGGAACTTTGAGGGAGAAATCAAAAATGTTTTATTTCTGAAAAATTGCAACAGCTGATGATGATGTAAACTTTATACAGCATAAGTTATGGCAACAGGATTTCAGCCTCTGTGTCAGAAGCATAGGAGTTTGTATGAATTACAGTGGTGTCCCGCATAGCGACGTTAATCCATTCCGGATTAATCGTCGCTATGTGGAAACATCACTAAACGGAACGGAAAAACCCATAGGAATGCATTAGACTTTGTTTAATGAGTACCTATGGGGGCCAAACTGACCATTTAGCGAAGATCCTCCATAGCGCAGCCATTTTGGGCACCCAGCGGCCATTTTGGAACCGCCAATCAACTGTTTGAAAAACATCGCAATGCGAAGATCGGTAAGCGAAACGCTTACTGATTATCGCAATACGATGTTTTGCCCATTAAAACATCGCAATGCGATCGCGTTAGCGATCTAAAAAAAGATCGCTATGCGGATTCGCCGTTAAACGGTGCGCTCGTTATGCGAGTCACCACTGTACTTCCCTATGATTTGGAGTATTAGTCATCTAAAATTACAGTTGTGGACTTTTCATACTTGCCCTTGTTATTGCATGTTGATATAGCCCTGAACAGTCATCATGGGTAGGATTTCCAAGCTTCTAAGTTCTTTGGTGAGTTATCCTTCAGTTTGTGCACAAGAAACACAAACATTAAAAAGTTCTCAAATGTCAGAAAAGATGTAGGGTACTTAATTTTTGTTGTCCTTCACTGTGAAGTCTAGTGCTAGATATACTCTTAAGACGTGGTCTTATGTATTGTTGGTCTTATGTAGCCTGCATAATTAATTTGTAAACCACCCAGATAATGCTTGAAGTACTATGGGGTGGTATATAAGCAGCACGTTTTGCTTTATGTATTGAATAAAATCACCTTGCGCTTTAGGCCCAGATCAAACAGTGCACTTCGATATCCTGCCAGCAAAATTGCAGCTTTTTTCCTTCCCCTCCTAGATCACCGGGGCAGGTTTTTAGAGTTTGGAGAGGTGCTGTAGGATGCAGGGAAATCACAAATTCTACCAGAACTGGCAACAAGTGGCAGAAGTGTGCCATTGGATTCTGGGCTTAGCACACTAGAATAGGATAGGATATTGGGCATTTAACAGTGTGGACTTCAGAAAGGCCTGTGATTGGAAGACTGAAGGAGCTCCAGGCTAGAAGAGAGACAAATTTGCTCATTTTCTCAAAGTGAAAAGGAAAGTGCATCTTTCTAAAACAAAACTATGTTGTCCTCTGTCAAGAAATGTGGACTGATATAGGTAGTTTAATAATGTTTTTTGAGTCATTAAATTGAAGAGCCCTCCTTGCGTTGGGCAGATTTCCAAGGAAAAAAAAATCTTTATGGAAAGCTGATATTGTAAATGACAGCAGGGGAGCAATGAGCCATGTAAATCTAAGACAGAGTAGGGATCCATACAGTATCAGTCTGTGTGAACAGCCCTTACATGATAGCTGCTTCAAAATATGTTGCATGGATGTTGTGTGAATACAAACATTTCATCTACAACAGAGATAGGAAATCTGCTATGTTTCATATATTTTCGTCTGTACTTCCCAATGTTCCTGATCAGTAAGTGACGATGCCAGATGGGAGTTGTGGTCCAAAATATCTGGACAGCATAGAACTTTTTAGTAATTAAATACTTCCTGCTTCTGTCGCATGGCTTGTCCAACTCACATGTAATCAGTCTCATCTGCAAGCAGTGTGAGCTAGGGGAAGAAAGTAGGAACTTTTAATATAATTCTCACTTCTGTTGTGGAATGCACATTGCTTCTGCACAATGGGACTGATTATATATGAGTGGAGCAACCTATGGAACTAAAGCTGGATCTGTTTAATTACTGAAAATCTCCCCCTGTCAGTGATATCATCACGCTTATGCAGGCATAAGTGTGGATAATTTATTGCCCATGGATAGATTGGACAATAATTAGTTTGTATTCATAAAATTAGTTAGTTTTCATAATTACTAAAACTTTCAATACAAAACTATTGGATTTAAAATGTATGAATGTAAAAAGGTGTTTCACCAATTCCTTTGTGACGTTCTTTCCCTTGTTTCCCCAGAACCTGATTTGAAGAAGAGAATTCGTGTTCATTTACTTAATGCTCATGGTTTAGATGAAGCTGGTATTGATGGAGGTGGAATATTCAGAGAATTTTTGAATGAACTACTAAAATCAGGATTTAATCCTAACCAAGGATTTTTTAAAACCACGAATGAAGGACTGCTTTACCCTAACCCTGCGGCACAGATGCTTGTAGGAGATTCTTACGCAAGGCACTACTATTTCCTTGGGAGGATGCTGGGAAAGGTAAAACATACTGCATTTGTATACCTAATAAGTGCTTGTATACTACAAAATATAAATAGTATACAAGGAAGAATTTTAATGGAATATTTTCGAAAATGTAATAAACCTGGGAAACGGAAATATACAGTATTTGTATTCATTTGGGGAGACCAAATTAGGCCCCTTACCCGATCAGGTCATAGGGGCACACTCATCACTGAATCTTGATGGGTGGTAGCAACATATAGAATGTACCATTTGGCCTTGCTTTTAAATGGTATGGAAAATGACTGCAGCAGACTCTCGGGCTCATCAAAGACATCACACACTGGAGATTACCTGGCAATATGCACACTAAAAGTGGCCACATCCAAGGGCACTATAGTAGTTCAAAAAGGATCCCAGCACATTTTGGTTGAAAAAATTTCCAGGAACCATCTACCAAAATAGACAATAGACTTTTTAAAAATGTGTAAGAATTTAACAGTTTGGTACATCCAAGAATGAACTGTAAAATGGTGTGTGGGATGAGAAATAGCTGTGTAGCCATTTTAAAATTTAAGTCTAAAATCCTTTAGAAAAATTTATGTGTATTTAACATGATTCTAAAAGTATTGTACAAAAATGCATGTGGACGTGTGAAAGAAGTAAGCTTTGGTGGCCAAAATCTAGCAGCAAAAAAACGGGAAAGGAAGCCAATATACAGTAGATCTTTTTCAAAGCTTTTGCCAGTAGCTGAAATGCATTCTAGATATCAGTTGTTTAAAATATATAAAAGCATAGGGGGGAAAGTGACCTCAGGCTGAGAAAAATGGAATAAAGTCTCTGTGTTTTGCAATGAGAAAGGACCCAGTTGCCTATCATTTTGAAAGCAGAGAAGTATTGTGTGTCTTCCATGTTTACATAAGGCACAAAATGACTGTGTTATTTAATAATTAGCTGTACCCAGGTGTAGAAACCCTCTTTAACTGGCATGTTTGGAAAGTTGATGAATTCAGTAGTGAGATAAGGCACAATCTTACTGTTTAAGCCCAACCTCAGTCCCTGCCAGAATTGTGGTTTCAATTGAAGACCTTGGATGCTTATTCATCCACTTACGAAAATGCTTCCATTTTATTCCTTTGCAATTAATTCCTAAAATACAGCAATATGTTAATAAAAGCCTTGTGTAAATAAATTGCATATGTTGCAAAGGAAATACGATGATATGCACAACTATTTCTTATCTGTACAAAAGGCAAAGATTGTTGTTGTTAAGAACTCTGTTTATATGTTACAGCATTATCAGAAAAATACATTAAAATCAAATAATTTACATTTATTCTCTGTTCTGTTAGCCATTGACTGATGGTGGTTATTGTGTTTTGGTTAGCGCTGAATGTCTCTTACCCATTCTGCTTGTTCCTGTCTGATAATTAACCACCCCGAAAACCTTCATCAAGGTGGTTGTTGTTTGAAAGTAGCGTGTGAATCCTGATAATCACCTATAATCAGATAATAGATAGATAGAATGCACAGGTGCACACACAACCTCCCCTAACGTATTTCTGAGGAGATGATTTCTTAGCTTATTAGGGTTGCCGTCAGCAAAAGTAGCAGCATTTACAGAGTAATACTATGCATTTCTGTTCAGTGTGAGTCCTGTAGAGTTCAATGAGCCATATTCTTAGGTGAGAAAATATAGTATTGCAGCCTTAAAGGACTGATTGGCAAGACTGATTTAATACATTTTGGTTAACTTAAAGAGTTTATGATTGAATGAGCAAGCAGATTTTAAGTGTTTGTATGTATGTGGTATGAAACGTATGAAGTAGTCCTAAAACCTGCATGTGCAATCTTAGAAGAGGTATTTCACCTTCTGTCTCACAAAGAGGGAAGCCAGCTCTTCTGAAGCAGTGCCAGCCACGAAAAGCAAGGCTTGGTTAAAGCTAAAGCATGCTACCTGTTTCAAAACTTTTGTCTTGAAAGAAAATTTCATTCAGTTAGACTCCTATCTCTTTGCTGTATTTTTGCCTGTCATTAAGGAAATGAAAAGTTTTTCCCAGTCTCATCATGAGAAGAGTTGTTGGATTTTTGCAATCTGCAGCTATTATGGGGCCAGGTGTTTTTTTGGGGAAAAAAATTAGATAGTCCTCAGGATAGCAGGGTATGTAGAAAATTTGGAGAGGTTAGAATTCTGTCTTGCGTTTGAAAGCCCCAGCTGTAAACTCTGTGGTTCTTTGTTTGTATTTGAAATGGATTTCAAATGAAAACTAGGAATTATTTTTACAGAGCTTTTACTTTTTGTAAAAATACACATTTGACCTTTCACCTCGGTTATTTGCTCCAGGCATTGAGAGAAGAGTCTGCATGTTGTGCATCAGCCAGAGAAATATGTACTTCGGTAATATGACAAAATCATCCCCAAACAATGTTGACTGGCTAATACTCCAGAAATCTGTGAATTTAGTATTGTTCATTTATGTCCTATATATTCGTTTATTTTTTAAATGGTTAATATAAGTTGTAGCTTTCTGTATACTAGTTTCATTAATATAACCAATTATCCTTTCATTACAAATGACTAAACTTAGTACCAGCATTTGTAAATACATTTCCACTACTAAAAGTGTGGTATTTTAACACTAAATCTTTGAGAGAGAAAAGATTGTATTGATTGTGATATTTATTGGGTCATAATGTATTTAAATTTTCTTTAATGCATATGTTAGTGATTGTTTACTGTGATAAAGTGCAGAAAGGTCTTTGCAAGCACTTCTACATAGAAAGAATTACCTCATGTCAGTGGTCACTTCTCAATTAAAAGTTCCATTAGCAGATGATTCCAGCTTCTGGTCTGTGTACTGATTGCATTTTATAGCTCCTAAATCAGGCTTCCTAGACAGGGAATAAATAAACAGTTAAAGTATGTGGTAATGGAATCCTGATCCTTTTTTTGCCTTTGGAAACACCTAGGTCCTTTTAAGTCAATTAAGTTCAGAGTATTTATGGAAATAAATTGTTATGTTTGAACTCTTACTGAAAATGAGTACTTTGCTGATTTGAAAATATTGATTTGTTTTGATCTATATCTCACGACCTAGATTGATGATAGTTACCTTCACACAGTTTTTTTTAAAAATGATTCATTTAACAAAGTTACATATTGCACCAGTAATTTCCTCTTAAGAGCTCATATTCATTTCTGCATGAGCTTGCAACAGAGCATACTTTTGAATACACTAATTTAGGAATCTGTATGCTCTCTAAGGAGCAAAAGTCCATGAACTGTCCCTCACCCTGGACTAATATAGCTGTTTTTACTTATTAGAATTGTTTTATGCAGAAGCCAGATGTTTGAAATACGACTTTAAAGTTTCTTCTAAGTAAAGCATACAGATTGACCAGCAATCTAAAGTCCTTTCATCTGTGCTTTTTTTTCTGTGTTTGTATGACTGTCTTCCCCACACAACCCTGTTTCCCTGAAAATAAGACCTAACCTGAAAATTAGTATGATTTTTCAGGATGCTCATAATATAAGCCCTATACCAAAAATAAGCCCCAGTTAAGTGAAACCCCGCCCTCCACCCTTGTGCAGCAAGCAGTAGATGACATGACTGTATTTGAATCAATGTAGATTGTTATAAATGAAAAAAATACAACATCGCCTGAAAATAAGCCCTAATGCGTTTTTGGAGCAAAAATTAAGACCCTGTCTTATTTTGGGGGAAAACACAGTAGGAGCTTCCAGATGTTGGATTTTGATACATGTCATCTCTGGCCAGGATGGAGGGCAAGAAGTGTTGAAATGCCTCCAGAAGCTGCTGTGGAGGTAGCAACAGCACAGTTTGGGGGTTCTTGGTGCAGATAGTAAAATAGTTTTAGTGATGTGGAAAGTAAACCAAAAGGAAGAAAACTATTTTTATTTACTATTATTTAAAATATTTGTAATCCGCCTTTCTCATTAAAAACAACCCATACAAGAATTATAAAAGACAACATTTAAGCCAAAACAGTGAGTATACAATACTAAATAACATGAAGCAACAGCAAAACATATTCAGTGCAGTAAGGTACAACAATTCATTTAAAACCCCATTCAGCAGCCAGTTACTCAGGTAAAGTTTGCCTGAAAAGAAAGGTCTTTCTTTGCCTTATTGTGAAAGGACAGTAAAGATGGGGTCAGCCTATCCTCACGTGGCAGGGACTCCAGAGTCTGGGAGCAGTAAGAAATTTGTACTGTTAATGAAATGTAGTTGTAAGCTCCTAGAATTTTAGTTAGAAAGATCATCATGTCCTGCTTCTTTCTGATGCAGGAAATCCACAGGTAAAGCATCTCTGTCAGATAGCCATCCAACCTTTGTCTGAAAATCTCCAGTGGAGGGGGGTCCATCATTTGCTGAACTAAATAGTTCTGACCATCAGGAAGTTCTTCCTCCAGGCTCAGAAATGCTGACAAACTAGACGGATTGATATGGACGAGGACCTCTCTTGGCAGGAAGTCCCAGGACTTCTTCCTAATGGAAAATCCAAATCTCCTTTCATGTAATTTGAATACAGTGGCTTGAGTCCAGTGCTCTTCAGCCCTTCAGATATTTGAAGATGGCTCACTCATAAGGGTGAGTGTGGGCCTGAATTCAGTCGCAGGTTCCAATCAGAATAGACCTGTCGAATCAGTGGAATTTATATAGGTGTCCACTCACAATTCAGTAATTATTTTGATGGCCTTATCTGGTTGGGAATAATAATTGTACTTAAGCCATAAATTCCTTTATTTCCATGATTTTAAAAATAAATAAATCACTTGGGGGGGGGTCACACTTAATGTGGCCAAGGCAATTCTAGAAGAATGGGATGTGCACAATTAATGACTTATTGTATTTTGCTGCCTGAAAAGAGCAGAGCTCAAGTGCAATTAAGTTAACAAAGAATTATTGTACATTTGAGAGATGCTCATTACAAAACTTAGCTTTTACTCTAATTGGAATATTAACTATTCATCTAACCCTGTTTATGAATCCTCCTTTATTTATTTGGAAGAACTTAGCTACAGAATATGTGTTTAATTAAAATGATAATAAAGCCAATCAAGGTGGCATACAAATACTTTATATAGTTTTTAGATTAAATTATAAATATTTGCTGTGGAGTTACCTGAAGATTGATAGAGATGCATTTGAAAAGCATTATTTTTTTTATCGATTCTTAATGTAGTAAATTACTAAAGTTATTTGGCAGCAAACAGAAATGGCCTGTGATGTTGTTCACGTTTATTCTCCTGATAGCACCACAATTTGCATTAATTGCATTGCTAGTGCACTCACTTATATTAAAAGGCTTCTACTATAATTAATCCTTTTTATTTCAAATCATTTTGGCACAATTTCCAGCAATAAACACTCATAAAAGACAGACACTTGAAAAATAACAAGCAGGTTCCTCCAATATACCTATTGCTGTTTTCCCTTGGTATAGAGTTATTGATAGGCTTCTAGGAGCCAGTGCTACATATGGCTAAGAATTAAGACCCATATGAAAAATGCTAAGTGGATTATTTTGCATAAAAAATAGACGGTTCTTGAATCTGTGTAATTAACCTGTGTTTAGAAAATACCTTGATTTATGCCTACATTTGTATTTCAGTTGCATACATTATGGAAATTTAGTTTATAATCCATTTAGCTGATGTGATCATAGTGCTTAAGGCCATCATTTATTAGTGCTTGTATATTAAATGCTTTAAAGGTTTAAACCTGAATTGTGTTTTAAAAAGAGTTGAAGGGAAAAGAACCCTACACTTGCAGAAGTATTGAGTGAGTTGTAGATGAAATTTCACTTTAATTTCAGAGAGCTTTGATGTATTTAACAAAGGTAGTGGTATGTGTATTTTTGTGTCACTAATTCAGAACAGCAAATAATTACTTTTCAGATTGCAAATTAATGATTTACACTTGAAGTTTACTTTCTTAATTCAGCCATACAAATGTTGTTCACTCTCCATCTTTTATTAAATTACCGTGCTCTGCTTTGATCTGATTCATGCATTTTGAGTTGTAGGTCTAAATTGTCACATGACATCTGTGTATTAAAGTATGTTTGATGAGTCACCAATAGGATATCGATTCAATTCTTGGTTTGACAGTCCACCTGCTTTAGACCATGGGCACAGAAAGTTTAGAACCACTACTGTATGTATATTTGTGTATGCACTGAATTCTGTATCTCCATTTTAGATCAGGGTTGCAGAACCTGTGGCCTGTCAGATATCATTGGACTCCAGTTGCTTTCAGGCACACCCAGCACTACCGATGACTAATAGTTACAGAGTTGCATCCCAACAACACTTGTAAAGCCATTACTGTAGTTACTTACCCAGTTTAGACATATTAAAGCTTATATACCAACATGAATTTGACCCAACTCCAGGAGGCAGTGGAAGATAGGAGGGCCTGGCGTGTTCTAGTCCATGGGGTCCCAAAGAGTCGGACACAACTAAACAACAACAAAGCTTACATACATAATTAGAAGTAGCCTTCAGCTGTGAGAAATCCATGTTTCTCACTCAGTCTTGGTCTCCAGTTATCCAGTCAAAATGCTGAACGTGGTATGGAGTAAACCTCTGCTTTTATTTGAATGACCCTCTCACAGAGTTGTTCTAGCAAAATAAATTATGCTAAGAAAGCATGGGCAGGAACATCTCCTTAATTGACAAAATACTCCAGAAATGCACTTTGATGAGTACAGGATTTGTACTTGGTGCTAATTTTTGGTAACAGCGTTCCATGTCTAGTCACGCTGGCCACGTGACCACGGAAACTGTCTATGGACAAATGCTGGCTCTACAGCTTGGAGACTGGGATGAGCATCGCACCCTAGAGTCGGACACGACTGGACTAAATGTCAAGGGGAATCTTTACCTTTACAGAATTGTAAGGTATTTGTATCACAATTATGCACAGATTTGATGTCTTTCAGCTGTGCTTTGATAAAATGAAGTTGTAGAGTAATTAAACAACATGGCCCCTAAAGTAGATTTGGTGCTGAATACATACAGACAACTAGCTGCCATAATGAATAAAAAATGTATTTTTATGTTTATCGGATAAAGACATTGAGCTTTTCTTCATAGGATGAACACTGATGATTGGGTACCTGACATAGTACAGCCTGGCTACTTGCTTACATATGGAGTGTGCAATACAAAGAGGAGAGTGGGGAATGTATACCATTTTCATAGATGGAGGAGATTGTGTGTTTAATGGAGAGATCAACTGGAAGTTTTTGAAATGAAAGAATGTATGAAAATTTTCAGATTTTGGAAATATAGCAAAATGAGTAAATTAATGTTCAACTGTTTCCTTTATTGTTTTTTTTTAAAGGCTTTATATGAAAACATGCTTGTTGAGCTCCCATTCGCCAGTTTTTTCCTTTCTAAGTTGCTGGGGACCAGCGCAGATGTGGACATTCATCATTTGGCTTCTCTAGATCCTGAAATGTACAAGAACCTGCTTTTTCTTAAGAGCTATGAAGGGGACGTAGAAGAACTGGGGCTGAATTTTACTGTGGTGAATAATGACTTAGGTGAGGCACAGGTAAGAGATTTGTTTTTTTCCATTCCTAGTATAGCCAGTTAACTATTAATTTCTCAGCAACATTTGCATTCAGATGTCATAGTGATAAGGCACGTGTGCCACAACTGCTGTTCAGGCAGCTTGGGAGTCAAAGTAGACATATTCTGACTAGTTTACTATTCTGGACATAATCTTCCTCAGTAAGCCAAAAGCTGTTTGCGTATATCAGTAGTAGCACTTGCTTTTTGATATCAGGTTGGACTGTTTGAAAGAGGAAAATTATTGAATGATTATATTCTTTCAAAAAAAAAAGAAGAAGAATAGTTAAATGAAGAATGCTTTTAATTGACCTTAGGCTTTTCATGGAAACATTTGGATGATCTGGTATCAAGGTACATGTTTCATTATCTTTTGTATTGTATTTCAGAAAGCAATTGCTGAAGTCAATTGTTCTGAAATGCTGACATGCAAAGTATAAAACAGGATATGCTGGTATGTATTCCAGCAATTGGTGGGTCCAGAGCAAAGTGGTCTGAGGTCAGATCAGGGTGGATTTGATTGAAATCAAATTGATTCAGGTTAACATATAAACCGAGGTCTGTCTCTAATAATATATTTAGTTTGCAAAGTGTAAATTGTAATTTAAGGTTTTTTTGATTGGTTTTTTTGATGGCTTAAAATAAAAAAAATCAATTAAAAATTAAATCATGATTTAAATAAATTTGATTTTAAAAAAGCATTGATCTTTATCCACCCTGGGTCAGATGTTACTTCTTAGAATTTGGAGATTTTCCCATCTTGCAAACAAAGTATAATTCGATTCTAAGGATGCCCTCTTATGAATAAGGCCCAGAGAAACAGTTTTCCTGCCTGTATAGCACAACTGATTTCCATGCAACACTTTCCTGCCAGGAGAACACAGCACACATCCTTAAAACACCTTCCTTACCTACAGAGCCCCACAAGATTCCACACAGAGTAGTTGCAGTTTAAATAGCTTTACATATTTTCATATCACCTCTCAGTGATTAGATGTAACAGTAGAAGAGATTTGCATGTTAGGCAGGAAATCTCCATAGTCCACCTCTGCCCACTAGGAGAAATTCTGTGTTCCACGGTGCTGAATTTGTAGACATTCACAGTGGCATGACAAATAGTTCTATGTGCTAAACCAGTTTTTCTTAACCTGTTCCTTTCCAAATGTTTTAAATTAAAACTTCTACCACCTTTTGTCAGGAGATTCAGTGATCATGAATGGTGGAAGTTATACTCCAGAACACCTGGAAAGCTTCAGGTTTGGGAATGCTGGAGTAGATGGTTATCAGAGTGGAAAAATAGATTACAAAAGCAATCCCCGGCATATAAACAAGTTGTTCTCCCCTAAACTCCCCTAAGCAGTTAGGATTGAGAACAGAAACAATGATTTGAGATAATGAATCTACTGTAAATTGGAGAATATGCCCATTGAAGGACCCTCTGAAGTGAAATATGTGAGCTTATATGTAGTACCTTCCAAATGTTTATAGGAAATGTCTTTTGAGGCTAATGAATGCCATAGACAAACACCTCCCCCCCTCTTTTTTTAGTAGATCATTAACCTTTAAGGACAAGGATTTGGACTACATTAAGTGGACTTAGGTACCATTAAAAATCAATGAGACTTAAATCATGACTACTGTATTTACATTAATTTCCTTGAGACAAATGTTCAATGAACTTAGACTGGATCCAGCCCTTTGTTTGTAACAGGTTAACATACAGTAGAAACTGTGGTCTGTCTCTGATAGTGGATTTAGTTTGCGAATGTTATTTTGGTTTAGCTGCAGAGGAATTTTACAGTTAGTTTCCTGTGCCCAAGGGAGCTTTGGACTTGGGCTTCTTGGACAGAAAACTTCTGAAACTGGAAAATTATCTTCTGATACACCAAGAGGATTTACCTAAATCCTTGTGTGTTCCTAAAGTACATATTTGGATCCCTGCCATTTTAATTGCTTCTAGTGGGTTTTTCGCAGAGTTTCTTTCAAGAGAGAATTTTAAAAGAATAATCTCATACCATAATTGAATGTCTTTCTACGGAAGCAATTCACATACCAATAAAGAAAAGCTGTTATAACTTGGAGAAATTCCAGTGTTAGGTGCAATCCCCATCATGTCTGTTTGGAAACATATACTGTAACACTGAAATCATGAGATTTCTGAGTTAACTCAGTTAAGAGTGGGGTCTGAAACTGTGATGTAGTTGTCCCATCTGTTCCCAGAAACATTGCCAGATATTTGTCAGAAAAAAAAACAGTTGAAAAAGGAAAGCTACTGAAAATAAAGCCCACAAGAAGAGCAATGATACACTGTTCACACCAGAAATGTTGTGATGTATAGCAATGGCGGAATATTGCATGGTGGGTTTTTTTGGTTTTTTGTTTTGGTCATTTCTAAAGATTCTGATGAAGATCCTATTGAGCAGTGGTGGAGCAGTCACTTTCACTGGAGCACTCAAGTAGGATCTTTCTGCATTCTGTTGCACTAGTTGCCATTCAAGCATATGTGACTTAAACAGAATGAGTAGTTTGACACTGTTACCACTTGGGTGATGAGATATGCAACACTTCCTTGAACACAAGTATTCTTGTCTATTGCATGAGCAGTTCTGCTGAAGAGAATCCTCATTTCTGTAATATTAGCCTGCATTTTAGATGTGCCCAGAAATGTTGGTTTGATAAACACTATAAATGGAAGTGATGGTACAGTCTAATAAATTGTAGTTTATTCTATCAAGATTTGTCATGTCTAAACCAGTCTTGAAATTATTACTACTAATAAATAGTCATTTGCTGCCAAATCAATTCTGACTTGTGGTGTGGCCTTTCAAGGTTTTCCAGGTAGAGAATAGTCAGATGTGGTTTACCATTCCCTCCTTCTGCGGGCATCCTGGGACAGTCCAGCTTGCCCAAAGCCACACAGGTTACCCTTTCTAGGATGCACAGTGGAGAATTAAACTCTCAGCCTCTGGCTCCGTAACCAGAAACCTAAACCACTGAGCTATTCAGCCGGCTTTGAAATAACTAGGATCTCTTAATTAATCTAATTAATCTGTATATTGATTGAAATAACTAGGATCTCTTAATTAATCTGTATATTGCGTACTCTTGATTAGATTTTGATTTAAAAACAAGTTTTCGTGTCTAATAAATACTTAGTGCAGTGCATTATGGTGTTCCTTAGGCATCATTAGACCTAGTCATGGAGGACTCTCTCATACTGAGAGTGTTGGACCAGTTGACACAGTATGGTGCCTCTGCTGACAAACGATGATTTTCAGGACATGGTGTTTTCCCAGATTTTATCCTGAAATACTAGAATACACCTCAGGGGTACAAAGCTGGGGAAAGTTGCACTCTAATGTGGCACATTAACATAGTACAGTGGTGCCTCACTTAGCGATGTTAATCCGTTC